ATTAGATGGAGATTTGTTTTAGAGTTAATGGGAAAATATAAAGCCAGTCAAAGGAGTTGCCTTCTCCTTTGTTCATTAATCATGTAACTTCTCCTGGAAAAACTTTTTTCCTAACAATGGCATTTAAGAGTTAGCATTTCCAATATCAAGATACATTCTTCTGTTTCTTCTGTCCTTTTTAAAAGAAAGTGAAAGAGGCAGCAGTTTCATATGTCCTGTGTAAACCTAATTCAGTTCTTAATTTCTCTTCCTTTTCTTTCCTTTCTACAGAACCTCTACTTATTAGTACAAAAGACCAAAGGCTTATCCCACCTGTGCTTGCACAGTGCTGATTGCCTACGTTCTGCCAGCCAGGTCAGGGTGCCTGAGCTGCTGTTAGGGGGCTTAGGCTGTTCTGGTTGGAGCATAGCTTTATTTCTGAGATTGATCTTGATTCTTCATCTCTAATGGCCTTTCTGGTGTGAAATCCTGGCTTTAGTGATGTCAACAGGACTTCAGTTCTGAGGACTTCCAGGCTTTTGAATTGCCATTTAAGAAGAATATATTTATTGTGTTATACTGTAGCACTTTGCCCTGCAAATAGGTGTGGGATGACATGCATACCTTGGGGGTTCAACCTAAATGACTCTATGATTGTGCGGTATGTAGAACATTCTGCCTATGAAATGTAAAAACAAGCAAATATCTTTAAAACTGTTGTGAATGAAAGTAAAAAAAAATGAAGAAAAGCTAAAGGCGAAGCTCACACTAATACTTTCCTTGCTTGTCTGTACCAAATTAACAAGCTGACCTTTTCTAAGTGTTATAATGTCAGAGTGATTGGCATGCCACAGCTAAGATTTAATTCTCCTTGTAGGGGATCTGACCTCAGGCTGGACATATATATCTGCTTTACATTGCAATTACAAGATCGGGTACTTTTATAGATACATGGTTTCTGTATTTTTGCATATATAGAAAGAATATTCTAGATCGCTCATAAATGAATTCATAAATAGTCTTTAATACATGGAGGTCATTGCAGTTCATTGCATTGATTCTGTCTAGACTGTGGCAGTACTTTTCACTCTTCATACTCAATGTGGAAATCAACTTCTTGTGTGAAGTCGTCTCAGTTTCTCTACAGTTATACAAAAGACATAGGGAAAGGTCCTACAAATTAATCATGACAGTTATTACCTTGGTTTTAATTTTTCAGGAATATTATTTTTTCCTCAATTTTGCACACAGTCAGCTTGTTCTTCAAATGCTTCATCATCTCCTTATTTCTGTGTGAGAGCCTGGACATTGAGCTTGTCTCAAACACATTCCATATGTTACATTACATTCCATACATACACATTACATTCCATAGTGTGAGTCAGAGACAGAAAACTGAGCTTGTCTCAGGCAAATCCCATTTGCATTTGACCATGGGAGGCCTTGATAGGATTGTTCTGACCCCTTTGTTTGAAGCTGATTAAGCCTCCACAAGAATGTGAAAGGATGACTGAAGAATGAGCTGACAAGAACATGGACACAAGGATATGAGGGACAATAACCCTCAGGGAATCCCATCTTTAGAACTGAAATTAGTATAATTAACTAATTAATCACCGGTCTTCAGTAAATTGGCAAGTATCCAGTGAACATGCTGAGAAGTTAATTTTCAATGTTGTTCCCCTTCTCTATAAAGGGACTTATATGGGGACAATCTTCAAATTGTCACCGCGAACTCTGGGGGAAATTCATAGTGCCTCCCACTCACCCACCACATGGAGAAGCCAATGACTGTTCTGGCACTGTGCTTTGGGAAGAGTCAAATGACAGCAATCTATGGATTCAAAGGTATATTTTCTGAAATGTTTTGCACTAGTAGAACCTATGTTACAGAAAGTGTTTACAACTCTTCCCATTGTCCCCATTTGTAAATACCATGATATCTTAGGTAACTTTGGTCAGGACATGGATCCTTTTTATTTTTAGTCTCTTCATTTTGGGGGAGGAAAACCCCACAATCCAAACAATGCAAACCAAGCCCATCCAAGCAAACCCTGGGTTTTTATATGAAGGAGGATCCCTTCTTTAACAAAGAGCCCTCAAAAAATGTTGATAGATTTTTTTTTTTGTTGTTGTTGTTAGTCTGTGGGCAAAATTCTTGAATAATTTTATTTGCTAATGAGGTGCTTTCTCCCCCAACTCCCCATTTTAATGAAAAACAAGTTGTAAAATATTTTGAATAAATATTTTCTTTAGGATGTGTGATACACAGTAAATGCATAAGTAGTTTTGTCTACCAGGATATTTAGGAAACAGCAAATCCTCCTTAAGATCCTCATTTCCATGCATAAAACATCACAGAAGTTTCTGTGAACTGATGGGTCTATACCTCTGGACTGTGCTCCATGTTCAGGGTTTTACCCTGTGCAAGCTGGTAGATAGATTACAGTTAGAAAAAAAACAATCAATATTTCACAGAGAGGATTTTAGTGATTAAAGTTAATTCCCTCTCATCTCCCTAGTATGGTGGAAAATATTAAAATTAATAGTAAATGTTCCCTGGGTCAGGTACACCCCTCGGAAGACATACCCTGTGCATCAGAGAGTTATGCCACTACCTTTTCCTCAGGAAAAATAATAAGTACTGGTGGCTCAAAATAGCAATTTGTACTACAATTTTATTTAATGATTTCTTTCCTGAGCTCAATTTACTTAGCCAGAAAGCATTCTTCTCCTCAGGAAGTTATTCTTAATGTGTTCTGTAGGTTTTCTTAAATAAAAAGTAATATTTGTACTTAAAGTTTACACCCACAGAAAATATTCTACAGGTGTGAGTTAAAAAAAAAAAAAGCAAGTCCTTGGCTGAAGCTAAGGTAATGTGGGTTGTATACAGTACGATAGAGAGAAGAAGGGCCATTTTCTTTTTAAATCAAACATTGCCCTTGAAATGGTGGGAAAACTGCATGGGAATTTTGGAAAAGGGCCTTCTGCCTTGTGTTAGGAAAACTGCTGAAGCTGTCAATGTTAATTTTGTCACAACACTAACAGACTCACTCCCAGCAAATGGAGCAGTATAAACATGAAGAGAAAATTATACTTTCTTAATTACAACTGTGCTGCTCTTTTGTGGGTCCAGCACCAGGCTGGCTTCCCTAGGTACCAGGCTAAGATGTTTATGCTATAAACTCAGCCTCCATGGAGCAGCTCTCAGTGGGTACACCATGGGAGCCCTGGAGTAGCGGGGTGGTTTTCCAGGTGAGTGGCACTGGAGGGAGCAGGAGTCTTCTGGGGGAAGTTGGAATAACAGTGATTCTTTGGAAAACTAGAGGGAATCATTTGATGAACTCTAATAAACCAGCCTCCCAGAAGAAAAGTGATTTCAAGGAAAGACCAACTATCGCATTTGTCTCAGCTGTAGAAAAGTGAGAGATGAACAAAGAAGGCAGATCAGGGAGTGGTAATGGTTTATGGTGTCTTTGCCACAGCTGATGCATGTTTGTTTTCACTTCTCACCTCCCTGTGCAACCTCAGGCTGTGCTCTGTATTCTGTCCTTGTTTATATGTGATATCACAGAAAGAAGAAAAGGTCCCATTAGGTTTTACTTGAAAGGTCATAATGAAGTTATTTTCCTTTAATCTGAGGGATTTGAACCATAGCAAAAGAAAATAAAATTTAAAAATCTGTCCTAAGTAACCCCACTAACCTGAGCATTTCACAGAGAAATGAAGTTAAACATTGAATTGTATGTTGGACAATTAACGGCAAAATTGCTCAACTCGTTTTCCATTCACTAGTGTCAGTTGTTCTCTCCATGAAAGAGAATTAATTTCTCCACACTTAAGAGATGATCCTGCAAGTTTTAGCCTGCCATTAAAAAAAAAACCAACCCCTCTAACCCCCCCCCCCCCCCCCGAAAAACAAACCCAAACAGAAAACAAATGTTGGGGTATATTTAAACCACTTTAAATCAACACACTGAAAATATTCTTCTTGTGAAGTATGTGGGTAATCCCATCCCAGCTGGTAAATGCATTGGGGTATCACATATGTCACTGAGCTCCTGGGGCTCCAGTGTCTCAGCTAAGCTATGGCAACTGACCCTAGATATGTTTACCTGTTCTAAATACAGAATAATGCTCTAAGCATTGTATAAAAAGGCTTTTCCCCATATTTGGTTTGGGTTAAGAGAGCATACCTTGTCATTTCAGTTTAGCTGAATTACTTCTTAAACTGCAGGAACTCAACTGTACGGCTGAGCCTTAAGTACCTTTTTGTAACTTCAAGCGTAAGCTTATGTGGTTTGCTGAGGCAGGGCTTACATTTTGAAATTAATGCTAACATATATGCATGAGCTTAGTTTCAAGCACTGTCAGTATTCACACTGGATGTGGTTTTAACCATTGAGAGGCTGAACAGTAAAGAAGAAACAAACCTAGTGGGATAGTCTTCCCTGTAACTGTAATACATTAAAATCTGCAGAATCAGGTCTGCAGGTTCAAATACATCCTATTTTATATTACTATTTTATGGCTTTGACAATGTTACCTGTTCATTTTGTCACTTTCATTTTTTTTTTTTCTTTTGTTACTAGTAAGGTGTTTCAGATTAATTTTCAGATTTTATTCTCTGTTGATCAGGAGGAAAAAAAAAAAGAAGTAGCTATACAGTCTTAACATGAATATTGACCACAAGGTGAGCAGGACCCTCTTTTTTGTCAGAAGCTTGCTTGTCAGCATGCCGGTGATAGATCAGATGTAAAGAAAATCACTTCTGCAAAACCAATTTGCTAAGGGACTTGTAAAATCCATTTTTAAAAAGTTACTCAGGTGAAAAAGTGAAGGACCAGCCAACCAGATATTTTGATCTTCTCTTCAAGGTCAAAACCTGATTACTAATTCATCAAATACCTTACTGGTAGCTCTGTTTGAAGAGCAAACAACTCTGTGCAGATGTTCTACGTAATAATTCTAATGCTATGTAAAGATGGGTAGGGTAGGAGCAAACAGAATTTTTTACTTACTTTTGGCAATGCTACAATCATAGGAGCTGTGGTCTTCAAAGCACTGGCAGCCCAGTTCAGTACATTGTCCGTTGCCATTACAAAAAGCAGGACACCAGAAGATAGTGAGGATTTCTTGCTGGTTTTCTACATGAAACACACTGTTTCTGTTCCCTAGTACTCTTCTTTCACATTCATTTTCCAAAAGGGCTATCAGTGCCCTCACTGAAGCCACATCATCTTTGAGCTGCAAATCTAAAAGGCATATATCACACTAAGCCAATGGTGGAATTTGCAAGAATTTGGTGGCAAATCTCCAGAGCTTTGGCAGCTGTTAGGCCATTGGGTGTGGGCCATGACAGTGGAAGCTTCATCCGATCCCCTTCAAAGTAATCCTCTTGGAAAAAATATGCAAAGCTCTCTGAGTCTCTCTGGCTTGGGCCATGCAATGGGTGAAAGGTTGAGTATTCATAATAGTTATCTTGCCTTTTTGCTCTCCTTGGAGCTTTTGTGGGTTTGGTAGATTTAATGGAACTGTTTCTTTTCATGGAAATATTGTGTGCAAGAGGTTTTAATTGGTCCTTGGGGCTACCTCGCTTTTGGACTGATTTAGGCACTTGTCGTTGATCAAAAGACTTGGTCGACAGCTTCTCATCTTGTTTTAAAGCAGACTCTATTTCTAAGTGAGTGACAAACTCTGACGTAACATCTAGATATGGGATTGCAGAGCTGTAATCCACATGGCCATAATGGCAACCAGAGGACTGTGGGAAGGGTGTCTGAAAGGCATTCAGCATGTTTCTGGACTTGGTGTTCTCCTTCTGACATCTGCAGTAATTCTTTCTTTCCTTCACCTCAGAAAGTGCTGGAGTCTTATCAAATAAACTCTTTCCTGGAGGTATTCTGATTTAAAAATAGAAAAAGATTAGAGGAAGGAAACATTCAACAAATCAGTTTACAATAGCAAGTAAGCTTTCTTTTCCTGAGGCTGGGGGATGTATAAATTCCCAATCTACCAAAGCACTTAAGAAAATGCTTAAGTTCAATCTCTGTTTTCTTTAGTTGCTTTTGCACTGCCCTTCTTGAGTTGTCCTGTACATTTTTAAGCACTACATGGGGACATTTTAGCAACAGATGCTTAAGTGCGTTGCTGGAGCATTGCCTAGCTATTTGACTTCTCTTTGCAGAACCTCCTTTAAGATGCAGGTTACACTTTTCATATTATACACGAAATAAGGCCTTGGGTTTGTCCCTGGTGTGACCTTGGTACTGCTTGGAGAACAACAATAAAAAAAAGTTTTATTTGTTTCAAGTGCTTTCTTATGAAAATCAAATGGTTTTTTCCTCTAAAATATTTTTATGCATATTTCATTTCATCCTTGCCTTCCAATGGAGCTTTCTTTGCATTTTTCTTTTGACAAAGCAGTTTTCTATTGATCATAAGGCTAGACTATCAAATAAGGTGAAGTGATTGCTTTTTTCACCCCCTTTTTAATTTAGTCCAGCTTTGATGATGGATGAACTTTATAGCGAGTTCAGTTTGAATAAACAGACATGATTAAAGTTTCTTCAGAATTTTCATGAGTGTAAAATTATTGACCTTATTTGTGCAGCACAAGAGGAATCCTGGAGCTTCATAGCAAAGGATATGCTTCTTGTCTCAATAGTTTGCAGCACTTTACTTCCAGTCAAATTTGAAATAACACCAAAATTTTAAATTATTTTGGCATTAATTTTGTCTTGCAGCCAGAAGATAGAAGATACTTCAGGAAAGTGAAAGTATTTGCAACATTTTGGAGCTACTAGATACTTTTGTACAAAATGCAGTTGCCTTTATCAAGTTTTTCCAAAATACATTGAAAATGGCATATATGATTTTGACCATTGATACATGCTAACTTTTAAATAAAGCATCACAATGACACAAGAAAAATTAACCAATTTCTCCTTCTGAAACACAAGCCCAGACATTTATGAAACCATTTTTCCTAGTGTGTGATCACAGCAGAACACAATGTGATACAAGACGGTGTTCATGCTCACAGAAATGCACAAGCTGTTCTGCACTTCGCTACGGTCTCGGATGTTAAAACACATTTGGTGACTGAGGGAGTGCTGGTCCTTTGGAGAATGCAGTTTAGTGTCTGAGTCAGCGCCCCTACATGCCCTGCTCCCCTGGCTCTGCAAGGTGGTGTTACCTGCAGCTGGAGCTGCCCAGACTCACATCATGAGCTAACTGCAAACTGAAACTAAGGCAGAAGTAACTCTTACTTTGAGGGAATACTACATAAACTGGAGTCCAGGGTAATTATCACATGATAGATAGATAGATAGATAGATAGATAGATAGATAGATAGATAGATAGATAGATATCACATAAACTGCTCCAGAATCAGGACAGAAACTGAAAACAAAAATGAAAATTTCAGTAAACTGAAGCTCTTTTGTCTTGATACTTTATTAAAACAAATTCTTTTGTTATTCCCATGTGAAACCAAATACCTCCCATCCATCCCATCCTGGTCAACAGGATGGGGATGTATGGTGTGGAAAGGATGGACCCATTGGAAACCACATCCTTCCTCACAGGCATGCGCATATAGACAGCACCTCAGTGAGCTAGGATGTGCCATCGCCTACATAAGACGGCTAGACTATCATTCCTGTTAGCTGCCCATTATAATCAACGAAGAACTAAAGACAAGTTTTTCAAACTGAGTTGGATATTATCATAGAGAAAGACTCCAAAATCAATAGCATTCCTGCTGGTTTCTTAAAAGACTTGAAAAAAATAATTTGCAGAATTTATTTTACCTACTTAATGTTTTAAAATTCAGATCTTCTTTGTCTGGGTGTTGCTTAAGGGCTGGGATGCTCTGATGTTGTTTTATTGTTTAAAAGTCTCATTAGAAAACTGGTCTTTAAAAGAGATCTATGCCATTCAGAGCCCTGCAGATGCTTGAGGTGAAAGCCAGGAAAAGAGTTGACCTGCCAGATGGTGGGCACTCAGACTAGCTTCACATGCTGAAGAAAACCTAACATGCTTTCAGTGTTACTTAAAATAAAATTAAAAAGAGCAGCAGAAAAATCACCCTCTCAGTTTTGTTTTTTTACTGTGTCATTTCTCCATGGATAGATCAGAGACCGGTCCAGTCTCCTCTGGAGATGGCTTTAGCTTTTTCACTGGCTTGTTTTTTTAACCAGGGTCTGGAGGGTTCTTGAGAATCCACCCTTGAGAGTACTGCAAGGTGAAATTCATCACCTCTCTTGCCATTCTCACTTAGTAGGAGCTTTTCCTGCCTTCCCTGAAGTATCTCCATTATATGTGCCAAGCGCTAGAAAACTCCTCAATGTTTTACAAGTAAAATCCTATATAGTGTGCTTTGGCTTCTGATCTTTCAACAAACTTGCCTTGAACTGGTCATTCTAAGGATCTTATTAGCCCCTTTTTGTGTAGCCAGCAGTTGGTTGGTTCCTGCAGCAAACTAGTTCTCCGTTGCCTTTCCAGAAGTAAGCGCTCACTGATAATCACATCATTAAGATGTTAAAGATGGCTATTGTATTCTAAATAGTACAGTTTGTAAATACAGGACAAAATTGCCATTCCTTAGGCCCATTTAATATAAACAGAATAGAGTAGAGTGGTTTGTTTATTTTCTGAAATGCAGTGGGTCTAAATATTTATAAGTATTTGTGAATTTTTACAAATAAATCTATAAAAAAATCTATTAAAAAATCAATTGAAAATTTGTGCTAAATTCACATGCACAGATTAAAAGGTATGTTAAGGTGGTATGCCTTATTTTTCCTTATTTACAAAACATACTTCACAAACAAACCTATACAGTCAACCTATTAGGAGCACTTAATGTTCAGCAACAGGAATGAAAATGTTCAGCTATAGGAGCTAATAAGGGTAGGGATAGGGGTAGAGGTAATGATAGGGATTGGGTTCGGGATTGGGATAGGGTTAGGAACACGGATATGGACAGGGACAGGAGCAAGAACAATGATGTGTTAGAGCACCAGACTCCTGGCTTTGGTTCCAGACCATCTGTCTCAGAAAGTGCAAGTTTTCAAACCTCACTGTCATAATTAGTAGAGTAGATAGTAAGTTTTAGCATGGTAGATGTATTACCACACTTTGTCAAAATGTAATATTTAATCTATACTCACATACTGTAACTAGTGTTCAGGAATAAAAGAACAAGGGAAATACCAAACTGTTAATTAATCACTATTGTCAGTTAACCAAGTTTTCTAATATGGGTGAGAGCTGCATTTTATTTAACAGCTGAGTGGGATCTTAACACAGGTGTTTACATCACATCATTTGCAAATATAAAACCTCTCTCAGTAGCTGCTTATGTGTTTTGTGCTTATGTGTTTAAGCCTCCTTGCTGTTAGGGTGGTAATAGTTTTCCAGGCTTCCCTTGCTAGATTAAGCAGATGTCTCTGTCAGGTCATTAGGGGAATATGTAATGAAATAAACCCATCAACACCCCCTGAAACAGTGCTACAAAGCATCTCCCATGGGGGATCCTCTCTGGCTTTGTACTTCCACTCCTCTATGAAGTTTTCCTCAGGCACATTGTTCAGGTCGTTGTGACTGATCCCGTCAAAGAGACCACCCAAACCTCTGGTGCTGTTGAAGTCGCTGCCCAGCATCCTCACTGTCAGACCCATTCCCCACTCGCTCACATCAGCTCGAACAAACGCTCCTGAAGGGAACAGGATCTAAAAAGGCAGAAAAACCCTACTGAATTAAAGCTGTCCCAAGCTTATTATGCAATAAAAACTGTCCCTTTCTATAAACAAAAATATCAAAGTAGGACATTGGTGGTGGCAGAGGTAATTTAAGATCATCTAGATACACTATAAATATTTATTTGTGCTATTATTTAGCTTGCTTTCAGTTTCTATGGTACTAATAGCTGATAGCATTACATAAATATGAAACTGCCTGAGTACTTTCTTTTTAAATTAATAATTACATCAATTGAAGTTTTCCCACTGGGAAGTTACCAGCGAATTTTTGAAGTGATTTCCATGACAATAAGACCACCCTTGTGTCTTTGCCTGGGAAATAATTTCTTTCAGATAAACTGCCAAGTCTGAAAAACAGCTTTCTTCCCGCTGAAAAATCGTTTCATTTTCCAAGGCCGGATTACCCGGAAAATGATTTGCTTTAAAGTGTATAAAGCAATTTTCTCATTAAAGAACTTGTGGTAGACTTACACTGACCTTTAAAAGAAAAAAAGATCTTGAGGTTAAGACAAAGAAGTAACTGTGTGGATAATGGATTTTTCAGATTGGTGCCCCAACCAAATAATAAAAAAAAAAGAAAAGAAAAGGAAAAGAAAAGAAAAAATCTCTTCAACTGAAATGTGGTTTTGTTTGTTTGCTTTATTTTCACAGGTAAAAATGAAAGTTATTTTGAAAATGATCTGGGCCAGGAGTAGGAGCACTCTATCCTGATAAGTAACCTTATTTGTTTTTTTATCCAAAATTAAATGTTTTCAGTTAATCTTAAAAAGTACATTAAATAGTTGGAAACATCTCATTACAATAATACCAAAATAATTATTTGCCTTTTTCTAAGTGACCCCTGAGTAAGTATAATTTATGCAGCCAAATAATGGCTGTTCATTTTTTTTTTTTCCAGTGGGGATTTTTTGGTCCTTTATATGTTCTTCCTCAGCAAATCCATTCACATTTGTGAAGAAGCAACTAGCTTATATTTGTATTTCTGTGCTGGACTCCAAAGTTTGCATTTTGGTTGAACTAAACAATAACCTTCCCCATTTTAGCTTCCCAGTCATCTTTTCAGGTATGAGAGTACTTCCTGAGGAGCTTTCCATGAGTGACTTCATTGTTCAGCTGCAAACTACCACTGATTGCAAGAACAGCTGGGGACGTTATGTTTTGTACTCAGGTCCTCTGTGTTTTGACGAGGGCATTTAAAGCATCCTTTAAAAAAAAAGATATTTGACTTGGTGAATAATGGAAGTTATAATGTAAATAAATAAAGTTCTTTGAATACAACAGAAGGTCTTGGTTGCATGTCCACCTTGGCTGCATCTCCACCTTAGATGTACCTTCACCTTGGCTGTATGTTTTGCTTCCCAAAGTAAGCTTAAAAATGTAATAGGTAGAGCAGGAGATCTGCAGCTGACACAGTGCTGGGTAGGATCTGATTTCCTTCTTCAGATAAATATGTGCTTTCTAATTACATGCTTTACTACAGGGAGGAGCATTTCCTACAAGGCTGCATATAAAACCCTTGCAATCATGACTGTATTAGCTGCTTCAGTCTTCCATGCTGTCTGGATTAATTTATCTAGATGTGGATTTATTTCAGTTATTTGGAGAGCCATAACTCTTTCTCCTCCTCAGCCTGCCTCAGGCAAGGTATCCCATCTGCTACTAAAGAGCTAAAAACTGCCCAGGTTTTCTGTAACCCACCTGGATTTAACGCTGCCAATTGGTTGAGGCTTCAAAGAAGCTTTTGTGAGACCTCAGTTTGCAGAGATATACAGTGACTGGCTGCTGGAAGCTGTTACCTTGCACAGAAAAGAAAGCGACTTAACCCATTCAAAGCATCAGCCTGAAAAAGAGTGGGAGCCACAGGGGAGCCAGCTCCTGCACTGTGCAAGATTGGCTGTCGAGCAAATTGGGATGCAGCATGCACTGTGGCCTGATCAGGGATCGTGTTTGTTGCTGCACAGCTCCTACACATTCCCATTCAGATCAGGGAAGGATTCAAATTCATGTCCTGGGTATGTCACGATTTGTTGTGTTGAGACATGAAGTGTAAATGAGAATAGAGATTCCTTGCAAAGTTTATTCTAGTAATAAAAGAATAATTATATAGCATTCAGTTGCAGAATTAAATTACAGCTTGCTTCCTGCCTTTTCTTTATTCTATAATTAACAGATATTCAATTACTGCTTTACTAATATCTATTCCAAGCGATATCACAAGAACAGCCAAGCACAGGCACTCCCTGCATCATTCTGGCTCTACTGTGGATCCGTCTTCATTCAAAACATTTCCTGGCAACAAATCTTGATAATAACAACTGTAAGATAAAATCATCTTCTTGGTCATAATTTATGGCTCTTCTCACCAAAACCCTTGGTGCAGCCTGCTTTTATTCTTCCAGTGACTTCATTGGATTAGTGTGGATACTCATGCAAAGCACCTTGTGGCCATACATATTTTAGGCAAATACTTGAAATTATACCGAATGTGCATTTGCAGCCCATTTTCATGGCTTTTGGGGGCTATCTGGGTCTGATTAATATTGCCTCACTATTCCTCTCTGAAACTACATTATTCTGCTACCTCTGATCTTTCCTTGAGTATTTATATCAGAAGCTCTGCAAAGTAATTTGCTTTATACAATACAGTCGGGTAGTGCCTAGCATAAACAAACTGAGAGTGGATTGCCGTACTGCAGAGAGTAACAATACTAGCACTCTGCTATGTCTCTGAGTAATTTCCAGAGCTATTTGTTTTGTTTTACAGTTTGTTAAACTAACAGTTCAACCAGCTTCTTCCCTGCATCTTGTTTTTTGGTATATTTCCATGCAGGAACTCTTGTGGCTTCAGATAGATATTTTTTTAGTGACTTCATTAGTAATTCAGAAATATTAACCTCACATTTTTAAAGAACAACAACAACAAAAGTACTTAAATATCCACACACTGTTATTTTTTTCCCTCTGTAGGACTTTAGGATTTTGACATGTGGTGATGCTTCAGTGCTTCTGATGGCTAACTGGGGTCTGTCTGGTCTCCTGGAAATGGCCATTGCAGGTGTCCAGCACCACAGTGTCACCCCCTTCTCGTGCAGCCACACCACAATTGCAAGTGGTGGCAGAGCGGTGGCCTCCACAATCCCACTGCCAAACATGCACTTCAAATGCCCTCAACACACTCTGGCACAAAAGGAAGGTGCCAATTTTATAGTTATCATAGTGCCTAAACAGCAACAAACGAAAAAGAGGACTCAGAGACCCAGTACATCCACCTGTGATGGGTGTTTCTTGGTACTGTACAACAGCACTCCTTAATCAGACCAGGGTAGTGGCTGGCCTTGAAGGAGGGAAAATCAACCCAAGGGGAAACGTTTCTCCAGCACTGTAACCGAAGGAATGCTGTCGCAGTTATTAGCTGGAAGTACATAAGAATTCATGTGAAAAGCAGGTAGCTGTTTCCCAGCTGCTGCTATGGCAATGGGAATGGATAAAAAGGATATACGTTTGATAAAGAGCAAATGGGAAAAAGTCCCTGCCTCCAGGCCTTAATAAATATGTTTTGGTGCTAACCAAATGCTTTACAGCATGATATTCTTCAAAGCAAAATCAGTCCTCAGATAGCCTTTTCTGTGACTAATCACTAACTTTTATAAGACTGACTGTGGCTAGGTGAATACTTCATATGAAAAACTGGGATTCTGCTGAAAACCTGTTAAAATGAAGTTGGTTCCTCCCCTCAATAACTTTCCTGTAAGCACAACTTTTACTCTAAATGGATTGGCAATCAGCACAGTGCAGTGTGTTGAACAATTTGAGACTTTTATCTCTCTTTACAGAAAGTCCTTGCTCCATCTGAGCAAGCAGAATAACTTTAACTTTGCAAGTTCTTGCCCTCTGCATGAAACAGGTAAAACTCATCCCACCTGTAGCCCTTTGGGTTTTCTCCACAGGGACCTGTGAGAGGATGCTCCTCTGCTTGTTCTTTGTTTTCTTATTCCAAAAGCTTGCCTTATTCTTACTCTATTTTATTCTAATGTGATGTATAAAAGTGAAGAAAACAATAAGTTTATACTTTGTATATGTTTGGAGTTTTCTTCTCACCAGCCAACAGCTTCCATCTTTAAAAACAATGGATGCTTCTACTTACTTTTAAGGCACTGCATTTAGGTTTAAACATGATTTCTCTGAAATTAAGTAATATGGAAGCTAAGCTATAAGCTTATAATCGTAAGCATTATTAATTTCTTCAATAAAAAGATAATATGTAAAAAGGAATGTATAAAATGCCACAACTAAATAACAGTTTTATTTTTAAGCATGGCCATACAAGCATCAATATTTTTTCAGTCTATTAGTGTTTCCTATACAGAGGAACAAATGGCTCAAGAACCACATTTTTGTTAGCATGTATGTATCTGCATTTTGTTTCTCTTCAGATTAAAAGCCAGAAAAAGCTATGTAGCTTAAAACACAGTAAGAGTTTAAACTCCAGCTGATTTTCTCTGCTAGAAAATACATCTGACTTCATCTTTCATCTTAGAAAACTTAGTGAAGTTGGCCATAAATCAATAAGATTTTGAATGATTCTGTCTCATTTTCTAATCAGGTACATAAATTCTAAGTACACTGAGTAGATACTGTTGCTAAGATTGATTAGAACTAAGGATAATCTCTTTTAGCATCAACTAGTAGCTCCATTTAGACATCTTCACAAGAGGGACAGAGGATACAGGATATTTTATGAGAATCACCTTCCATGTTTTCCTTTAACAGGGGGAGCTTAGAAGGAGAGGAGTTTAGAGAAGTTGATGGAAAATAACGCATCAAAATGGCTGTAGCCAGACTAATCAGCTGTATGTGGTAAATAAAACTGTATTAGCATATGCATATAAATATCATTGCTATTATGGGAGCTATTTACTGCTTAATAAGCATTGACACCCCATCCTACTTTCCTGTAAACCACTTATTGTCCTTCAAGTAAGTCATGGCATAGATTGCATAGTGGTTAATAAATCAGCAATGTGTCTAAATTGAAGTTTTCAATTTACTTGAACAGATAATTGCAGTCAGGTAAAATTTTGTGGTGTTTAAACATCTGTAATTCTCATAATGATTCTTTGGACAACGTTTGAGAAATTGCTTGTGGCACTAAAAGCATGAAGTAGAGTTACTGGAGTTTTTGCACAAGGGAGCTCTGTGTATTTTTTGTGAGCCGGGTGCCACTACTTCTATCTGAATTGGCCTCCACAGTTCACTTCCTCATCCTGCTTCACTAACAGTCTGCAGCAATGGATCTACTGGGTGGAAAGGGATTGCTTCCCCATATATGTGTTTGGGTTGTTTTTCAAGGGATGCAGAAAGTTCTTGTCTAGCATGAAGTCATGGCTCAAATTGTGCTCTTAATCCAAGAATTATAAAATACTCCTAAATCTTTGGTTTTGACAGCAAGATGTTATAGGAATTAATTCAGTTGATTTATTGTAAGAGAGTGACAGAAAGGGATATAAATATGTATAAACAATTGCTACTAGTAGTGTTAGATTAACTAACACAATGGGTTTAGTATTCACAGAATCACAGAATCATTAGGTTTGGAAGGGTCCTCTGGAGACCGTCTAGTCCAACCCCCAGCCAAGGCAGGAACTAGAGCAGGTTGCACAGGAATATGTCCAGGTGGGTTTTGAATTCCTGCAGAGAGGGAGACTCCACAACCTCCCAAGGCCGCCTGTTCCAGTGCTCTGCCACCCTCAACATAAAGGAATTCTCCATGTTGAGGAAGCTCTGCTTCATCTTTTTATTAATTCAGTTATTAATGCTGCTGCTCCTAAAGATTTTCCAACACAGTTTTGGCACCAAAAAAATTGATTTGTTGATATGTCCCCCCAGGCTCCCTCTTTCCTTGCTTGTAAGATCTATTTTTTGCTAGTTGTGACCCTAGGAAGTGTTGGGTGATGCTGGAGGATGTTCTCTGGTTTCAGAGTGCTCACCACTAATGAACTAATGATGTTGTTCTTGGGGACCAAAGCTGTTGGTTTACATTCCCAGTCACTGGATGCTTGGGAATATATAAACTTCTATAAACTATCAAAAAGAACAGCACCACTGTCAGGGGTGCTTATGCCCAGAACTTGGTTGCAGGTTACTACAATAAATGCCATTAAAGCCAACCAGAAGTGTGAAGCTGTGCAAGCTGAGGGATTTTGTGATTGAACAGGAAATGTTGCTATTGCCTCTGTGATAATATTGATGTATGGATAAGCATTAGTGTTTGAGAAATCTGCAAAACCTTTTTCCTTTGTAAGGTAAAATGCAAAATAACATGAATGATACATGTAGTTCACCAATGAAGAAATATTCCCCTTTTTATATTTTCCTTAAAAGGATTTTCTGCATATTTAATTTTAAACTAGTATTTCATATTTAAGAATCTACAATTTATGACATGAAAAGCTTTTCTATTTATAATGTGCCATACCTTGTAATGAGGGCTATACTTCTGCTTTACCAGGCTTTCACATTTGTTTAATTTAGAAGGTACTTTGCTATAAAAGGAAGTGCTCTCTCTGGACTTTAGATGGTATAATTAACACTATTTCACATCTATGCTCCAATATGCACAAATTGATTGTGCTTACACTGTAAAATATGATGCAATCTTCTTGGATTTTCAGTCACTTCCTTCGGTCAAAAAGGAAGATTACATGATAAATATTTCTACAGAAATACATTAGCAGGAGGCATACCAAAGGGGAGTGTTATCATTAGAAGTGGGAGTTAGGTATTTCAGTTATGTAGTGAATAGCTAACTATGTCAGGTGTAATGTGAGCTCAGTATGTCCAATTAGAAACTGTTGAAAACATCACTATAGAAGTTACAAAATGAAGTATTTCAAAATGTCACAAACAACCTATATGCTAGAAGTGACCATTTCAGTAGGAAAAGTTTACTACAAAAAAAAAAAGGTTTCAGTATTTCGATTTTCATGAAATTTTAAAATCTTCTAACCAATTGGCTAAATAAATTATTCTAATAAATCTTTTTAAATCAAGTTAAATTTTAAATTTTGAATGCTTTTCATTTAAATTTTGGAAGCCAATAAAGGTTGCAGTTTTCTGTTTTCATGTTTGTTTTGATGCTGGTTTTCCCCTATTGTGTATTTTTCCTTCTCTTCGCAAGCAGGAGTATGTTTGTGTGCATTCCTGTTTGTATAGAAAACACTCCTACTGTTTTACTGTTGGCAACCTTTCCCATTATTTGACCTTCTCTTGCTTTTCATGTGACAGTCCTTCAGCAGACCATTCCAAGGACTCAGGTGGAAAGGGTGCCGAAGAGACAAGTGGTCGCCACCTACCCACAGCAGCTCTGCCTACATTTTGATCTCAGAGTCTGGTGGCTCCCTGTGAGCTGACCTACAGGATTTGTAGTGGAATAAATGGATTTCCTTAGGTTATATTGTTTGATGGATGCTCTGCTGTTGATTCAGAAGCAGTTTTGATAGTTTATTAAGCTTTCTTTGCTGCCTTCCTTGTAGCCATATAGAGGTGGGTAGTCTGCTGTTCCCTTCAGTTCTCTTTGACTAATTGTGGATGTTTCTTTTCTTTCCTGCCTAGTGTTCGCACCTGAGCCTGTGTCTACAGTTCGCTTATAGCTGATACAGCACCAGAAGACCAAGAGCTGATGCTGTAATCATCCTCTCAGACTATTGCTTCATAGTCCCTAGGAGAAGATTCTCTTAGCTTTTTCTCTTCTCTTGCTTCACTGTTTGCAATCTGCAGATCAGTCTCTTTCTGATACTTCTTTATTACTGAGGGACACCCATATGATTTCTTACTTAAACCCACAAGATTTTTGTACAGTTCTTCACATCACCTAATGCACATCATTTCAAACGTGATATCCCACCATGTACCCTTTCATGACCAAAAGGGAATGCTTCAGTTCCTTACCTCTGTGTCAGCCTTTGTCTTTAGGATATAGGTTTTGTATCAGGACAGAAGCAAGACTTGCATTCTCACTCCTTAAATACAGAGCTTTGAAGTAATTTGCTAATGTGTTAACATTTTTTTGGATAGGCAGACAGAGAAGTCACTTAACTGATGTATAACAGGGTGGCATAATTATTACAATAATTGAAAGAGAAATTATTTACAATAATAAATGGGAATATAAGTAGGAGTAATGGGACTGTGAAATTATGGGTAAGAAACTTGGCTGAATATCAAGAAGTGATATATCTTATTGAAATAACCTAGTTATTGAGATGGCTGAAGCCCCATCAGGTTGGCTTATTTAAAGCTACACTGGACAAAGCAGTAATGAATGTCTGTCCACAAGGAAGATGTTGTTATCGAGAGGGCAAGCTATCCTGTTTTTTTTTTCCTTTTCAAGGCTGTGTAACTTTGAGGCAGGATGCCACAGAAGGATGGGCTTTTCCAAACTCCCTGTGCTCAAACAGAATTGTAAATTGCTCAGAACCATAGAATCATAGAATCGTAGAATGGTTAGTGCTGGAAAGGACGTTAAGATCATCCAGTTCCAACGCCCCTGCCATGAGCAGGGATATCTCACACTAGAAGGCATTTCCTGAGTTATCAATAAGAGGGTAGCAAAATGAGTTATTCAAATAAAATGGTTTTATTTTACTTTATACCTTTTTCCCATGGAAACAATGTATAAATATGTTACATGGCTGAGAGCACTTCCCCATTCCAAGAGGCACTTTGCAGTAATTTATGACTTCCTAAAGACAACAACCTGGCAGATTACTGTCCATTCTTAGCCTTAAATCAGAAGGGAATAGTTTAGAATATAAATGTGTAGAGAGTTTTGAAAGAATATTCTAATCTAGTTTAATATCCCAGAGTTGAAATAATTGTAGGTACATGAGGCATGGGAATGACTTTGCACCTCTTGTAGCTCTTCTGCCTGTTCTATATATTGAGCAGCCAAACTTGCAGGAAACAAGTGCCTGGCCACATTATAAATGATCTTCATCAAAGCAGAAGGGAAACTGGAAAGTCCTAGATGTACAGAGCTAATCTCCTAGCTGAGACTACCCAGTTTAGGTGAAATCTTTGAGGCAGATGCACAACCTTTAATCTTTATTTAAAGGCAGATGTACTGCATTTCTTACTTAACATTTCATAGACCCATTTCTCCAGATTTGATGTCATTTCAGATGCTACCTCCAGAGCATGCTGGACTGAAATTGGGATGTTAGTATATCAAAATTTGAACATCACACCTGCCAAGCACGTGAGGATGCTGTATGCCTAAAGTCATCTGTGCCATTAAGAGGTTAATGGCGGAATGACAAACCTGGAATGTGATCTGAAATGCTAGCAACTTTGATTCAAACATGCTAGATGCAAACTTTAAAAACTTTGTTATGCTAAATAGCTGGGGTAAATAGATTCATGAATGATTAGAGAAGTTAACTGAAGAAATGTTCTCTACAGTACAGGCTGTCAAATACAAAGATAACTACCTTTGGCTTATTAAGTCTTTATGAAGCTTATTGGTCGATAATAATTATACTGCTGACCAGTACAGGAGGACATACAACTTTATTTCTGCTCTGATATTTGCCACTTATCATCTCTGGACTTCTATCTGAGGCAGTAATGCCATATTTATGGTTTTTTTTGGTTGTGGTTATGACTGTAAACTCCATGCAGAGATGCATCTGCGTATAAACCAGCTCTGGAAGTAGAAGAATGCAACAGTATCTTTGGGCTGAACGACTTTGTATCAGGTGTTACTAAACTGCTGAGAAGGACCAGGCTGTCCCTGGGCGCTGTGCTCCTACAGGGATGTAACGGCTCACTGGTGTGGAACTGGGGTGTCGCTGTCATGATGTCACATAATGTAGACACTCTTGAAGTCATTAATGATAGTTCTGTTTGAAGAACATTTTTGGATCTGACCTTTGTCTTGTAAAAATCATCCAGACTCAAAACCATTGCCGCTTCAAGATTAATCCATTTCTAGTCCTTTTGTTAAAAATAGTATAAACAGCTTGTAGGAAACCATGTAAGTTATTGAAGCACTACACTACTCACTATAAGCAAACTAGTACAACACTCTTTTGTTGTTCTAATGTAAACCCAAATGCATGCTACATCCAGAAACTGAAAACTCAGTAATCGAGCCAGATTATTTTGAAGAGGAATACTCACCATCCATCAAACGTGATAAAGTGTGGATCAGTGAAAGAGTAGCAGTTCCCTGTTGGGAGGTCTCAAACTGTGACCTAGTTAAAATGAAATGTGTAATGAATATAGTCTACACAGCGGTTTTTCTTCATTATTGTTCCTCACAAAACATTAGGGTCAGGATTCATGTGTCAAGTACAAACCGAAGCCTGACTTCTAAAACATGATTGTGAATGGGTACAAGATACGCTTTGCTTTCAAACAACGGAGTTTAATCACATACAGTAAGGGAGTACAAAGTGCTCCTATCTTTTTTTTATCTAGTAAAAAGTGAAGCTTTTTTATGAAAACTTTTTGCTAAGTAGATTATACACGGAAATTATCAAGAGAATGCTCATTGAATTGAACTAATTTTAATGCTTGAAGTATGGTTTAAGATATGCTGTAATTAACTAGCATTAGCATATTTTAGCAGGAGTCATGGCCTGTCCTCTAATTTGACCTTAGGTTTCCTGATACAGCATCTGAATGGTTGATTCATATGTTTGATATGCAGGTTATTGGCGGGGTGCTGGTGATAAGGCCCCTAATCCATACACTGGAGCTGTGTGCTTTCGACACGTGAATAAAAGAGGAAAGGATCTGCTACAGCAAGACAAAAAGATCAACTACAGCAACAGAGACCTTGAGGTGCATCAGCTCGTGGTTACTTGTGCACCAGCTGGGTTCCACACAAGGTCTCAAGTACTGGCACCCTTCAAGAAGATAAGCCTATGAAAGCCAGAGGTAAGGCAACTCCTTTTGAAGCTGCAATAGCTGAATCTCAGGCATTACTGGGCATTGCAACATCTGCTCAAGATGGTGTTTTTTTTTTATGGCTGAGTACTCTGCTATCCCGTTCTCAGAAATGGAAGACTGGGTTGTGTAGTGGTTTGTGATATGAACAGCTCCCAGTCATACTGGTGGGAGTGATGAAGTGTTATGTTTTTCCCATATCTCGCCTGCCAGGGCTGTTAATTCGTTGTTCACTCTTTGCCCATGAGAAGTCCAGAGGTGCAATTCAGTTAGTTCTACTACAAGTCACAGAGCAGGGAAGAAGAATGGCTGCTATATCCTTGTGCAGTCTCTCATTGACAAAGCAGAACATAGCTTTTAGGAACAGTTGTGAAATCAAATAAATGACTGAGAGGGTGAAGATAGAACTACATTTCCTGACAAAATTCTTCACCTGTGGCAATACATTATCTTGTATTTCAAAATGCCCCTCAACAACTCACAGAGACACTGCTTAGACACCCACCAGTGTCTGGCACACCAAACTATTCGAGTGATCGTCTTGAGGGCTAAAAACTTCTTTGAACAGCATTTCGATCTGATGTCAACTGTACAATTTGTATCTACAGTGTGATATAAAGGAGTGTCTCAGAATTTTCCCATTCTCCCCATGGCCACAGACTTCCTAAGTAAAACCTTTGTACAAGCAAATCCATGTGGCATTTTCTGTTCTGCTCTTTTCTTGCATGATTGTATGCAGGTCCTAAGTACAGGCAGTGTTACTTTGCTGAAGAAATCTGCTTTATCAGGTGTCTGAACTTCTCAGGATGTTTTGCTCACCATTTCTGTTCAATTTGCAGATAAACCAAAAGTATTTGAACAAGTCTGAAGGACTAAAGATTATGCGGATTTTTCCTTGATACGTTTCAGGAACTGTGTTACATTAAGGCCTCTAATTAACCACAAAACAGCAACAGGGAAATGGGAAGGAGGGAAAGTAGTGTTTAAGTTTCCATAGATCAAGTTTTAACTGAGATAGATGGAATTTATTATTAAAATTGAGTAATCCAATTTCACACTTGCTACATTTTCATATTTTAATGAACACTTTTGTAACAGCAAGAAAAAAATGTGGGGATGTGAGTGCACTACACTGAATTAGCTGCAATTTCTGATTTAAGAATCCTAAAATGCTTAAAAGAAGCCTGTGATGGAGAGGAAAGGATATAGTCCCATGCTAGACCTTTTACCTTTGAAGACAAAAATTCTTTTTGGTCCTGTTTAATCTCATTTTCTCATGAGCAAATCCACAAAAATGAGGGCAATGAAATTATAGATTTCACTGGGGGTTTGCTTTTGGTTACTTAATATATACCTGCTTGGATGTGCCACTGCTCTGAGAAATTTAGTTGAGTCAAATCTGTTCTTTGGTTTATTCTTTCAAGCGGTGGGATTATGGCTCTCAAACCTCCCAGCCAAGGCCCTAAAACAATTTCACAGACATTAGGCTGGTAGCTACTTACCAGGCTACTTTGGCCAGGCTTTCTGCAGGGAAAGCATGGCATTTCTCCCTGATTGCTTCTTCTTATTTTTATTTTAGATGTGTTGTACAGGAATAAATGAAGAGATGGAGCAGCTGCATGTGTTGCCAGGGATGTCCTGGTGAATCCTGGCAGTCACAAATTGAACACAGCTCTATTGAGTTCTGTTCTCCTTTCTCATTACCAGTGGTACTGCCTTTCCTCTGCTTTTTCATAAATTGTTCTCTAAACCCTTGGTTTTCCCTCTCCTTCTTTCTTGAAAAGGTGTTAATTCCCTAATTTAGGTTCTCCCTCTCTCCTCTTCCAGCATACACAAGAATGCCTGATTACATTTATAATCCACTCGATAGTTTAACTGATGTACTAATAATCCAACCTAAATCTGTTAAAGCACAAGTCTATACAATATTTTTATTTTCTTGGTTTATAAAGAGGCTGTTTTGGTTTACTCTCCTGACAGCTGCCCCCAAATATTTATATGGTTCAGGTTTATCAGCATCTCATTTTCTTTGATACTAATCCTCCCACTTAAATTTGGCACGTTTTCCAACTTATTTTAGGACCCGACCTTCACATCATTGGGTGCGTAAGCCCCCCAGAGCAAATCCCTCCATCCGACTGGCTCAGCTCTGATGTGGCTCATGCGGTTCCCATCCTGAGCAAAGTCTGTCACGGCTATCACTGTCAGCGCGGCAGCTGCACAGCTGCTTTCCGAGCATGGCACCCGCAGCAGATCCACCTGGCATGATGAAAGGGCGATGTTTGGAGAGCCCAGTAACTGGCTATCTAAAATGAACACAAACACTGAGTCTGACAAGAGTTATTCAAACAGTTGCCTGTTCCCTCTTTACCATCCAACACAAATGTTTCCTATTCCAGGACACACATGCCTTGAAACCAGATGGGGTTTGCATGTGACTGACTGAATCTGGCATCCCTCTGCACATTTTTCTGTGATTTTTTTTTTTCTTTTCCCATGCAGTAGGCATTTTACTAAAACTCAGTGGTGCTTTTCTTTCCACAGGTGCTCATATTTCTGGAATGACAATCTTATCTTTATGGGTCCATGCCCAGGGAATGAAGATGAGTAGTCCTCATGACAAAGAAAGAGATGAGCCTGTGTTTCTATGAAACATTAATCTTTCATTAGCTTTATTATAAGGAGTAATTTAATTTAAAATAAACAGAATTTTGATCTGGAAAGGTAGCGGTTCTTGAGTCAGATTTTAGTAAACTTTGGATCCATGACAGAAAGGCAAATGCAGCAGATTTGTATCTGTATTTTTGGCATAGTTAGGTATGGTGCTTTACTTTCCAATCTGTAAAATGATGGTAATTTTATTTCTATCTTTTGCAGAGGCATTGCGAGGATAAATTCACTACAAGAATGTGGAAAAGTAATAGGCTATGATGGTATTGGCTATGTAAGTATCTCTGATGGATAGGGATGTGATGGGTCATAAGAAATTAATATGGAAATGGCAATGGCATCCCAAGTCAATTATGCAGATCTGCTTCTGCATGTCTTATCTTTCCTAAAGGGACTTCTTCTAGTGGCAAGTCTGGTAATGTCCACTTCTTTTGGGCCTCGAACCTTCATCCTCAGGTCTCAGGTAAACGACAAGCCTGGATTTTTATTTCCATAGATGTGTTTTTTATTTATAAACACTGAATTATGATAGCATTGGGTTCTGAGCCATCTGTATTTTACAGTGTGTATGTGCTGTTCAGGAAGCCACCCAGCCCTTCATGAATCCTTTGTTGGGTAAAAAATTAAATTGCGACCCTCCTGAAGATAGTCAGATTCTTGCTGCCGATTTCAGGAGTGCCAGCATTTTTACTGAATATTTAGTTTTCTGTCGCAGACCATTAATTATCAGCTGATAAGAATAAAGTTCTAGAAATGGTGGTAATGTAATTGATCTGATATGAAAACAAGTGATTTTCATAACGTCATAGAATCATAGAATAATTAGGGTTGGAAAGGACCTTAAGATCATCTAGTTCCAACCCCCCTGACATGGGCAGGGACACCTCACACTAAACCATGTCACCCAAGGCTCTGTCCACTCTGGCCTTGAACACTGTCAGGGATGGAGCATTCACAGCCTTCTTGGGCAACCAATTCCAGTGCCTCACCACCCTCACAGTAAAGAATTTCTTCCTTGTATCCAATCTAAACTTCCCCTGTTTAAGTTTTAACCTATGTTTTATTCCTTATGAAAATAAAAATAAAATATAATTTAAGTTAACCCTGTAGAGTTCTATAGGAACTGAACAAAAAAACCTACAAATGCTAATAATATAATCTCTCATATCAAGTCCTTAAAAAGGCTTTCTAGCATTTTATAGAAAAGTCCTGGCTCATTTTCAAGGTTCTTGATTCAATTGAATTGGAGGTTTCCATGAGGAATAGTTGTTGCCAGTACAGCCCTGTGAGTTATGCTCACAACCCAGGACAAAAGTTTAAAATCAAAGAAAATCATCTTGTCAAAATAGTAATGATAAACTTAACAGAAGCTGAACTCCAGTGGCTCTACTCTGCCTTGACATTCGTTATGATATTGTCTGAACTTGGAGAGGTATTTCTGTGCTTGTAATTAGCTTTCTTATCACTTATTCCCTACATAATTAGCACAACAATGTTATTTTATGGATTCAGTCAGATGAGGAGCTTGTCAGTTAATTTATCCAGTATAAACAAGTCTCAGCTAAAATAGATTTTTTTTTTTTAGTTTCTATCACTGTGGCCAACCTTGCTTTTTTCAGAAGCCCACAGTGTGCTTTCAGATAAAGTAACAGACCCTAAAGACAATAAGGCACAAAACAAACATGCAGTTATGCAAACACTAGCAGCAGATACTCAACCTTAAGCATATATAGGTATCTCAGTTAATTGTAAATGACCCAAGTGCCACCCAGGGAGACAGGCTCAGGGTGGAGCAATCAAGGGCTGGACCTGGTTATCGATTTCAGCTGCAGAAACAAGTTGATTTCCACTTCAGTAACAACTTCCTTCAAAGATTATCTAACTGGCTGAGTTGTGCCTCCATCCTGGCACCTCTGGGCACCAACACATCAAGCCCATTGACAGCTCAGAAACAAAGCTGCTTCCATAGGTCTTGCCTCCGCTCTTTCTTCCAGTCAAATGCACAATGTGGGACTGGGGAAGACCCTGGCAAAGAGTCAGCCTTAGTTTCAGTGCGATCAATTGAACTTAGTCTCTTAGTCTCCCCAACTTGAGAACTCCTGGATTATGCATTCACTGCCAGAGAAAATGTGAGTTAAAAAAATTACTTTGAAAGTTTATGTGACTAATTCTTACTTGATCCTCATAAATGGTAGGTGTCTAAGCTGCTTGGAGTCCATGGGGACTGGAGATGTGTCTCCACGCCCCCCCCCCCCCCCCCCCCCAACCCAGCCTGTGCTTTCAGCTAGTCAATATCTAAGAAAATCTGTTCACATGAGCTCAGCGGATGTTTGCCTGATGGACCAGCAGAGACTCTAAGCCAAGAACAGTATGTAGAACAGAGCAGCACTGAGCCATGGATAAATGCAAAGTACTTCATGTATGAGAGCCAGCACAGCTGCTGGAACCATAAGGTGCTGTTCAGTTTAAGATCTCTGTGTTATGATACCATTTGAATTATTTTTTTCTTCTGTCTAAGGGCTTGGCTGATGGTGGGGAGAGGAAGGAGAAGGATTTAGAAAAGGAAAAATATCAGGAACTATCTAGGTTTTGCCAAACATTTTTTTGAGCTGGCTTTTTGTGGGTAGAGAAACTGTTGCTGTAATCCTGTCTCGAAATGTTTTTCTCATTGAGTCACCTATGAAAAAGAAATAAATATCTTTTTAGAAGAACAGTTTGGTGGTTTATTTACTGCAAATGAAAGTAAATATTTATATGTCCCCCTTGGTTAGGCACGATATTCCAGTAGATTAACCTGAGGAAAACATTTACTGATTAAAAGGGCAAGAATTTTCTAAGTGACATTGTCAATGTTCTCAAGTAAAAAAAAAAAAACTTTAGAAAGAGGATAATATATAAGCATAAGAATGATGTTTTTCTTCTGTATTAAGTTAGACAAAAACTGTAAGCCAGCTAAAGAAAGAAAAAAGGCTTCAGTTCACATTTACTGAATAATAAATCTGCGAGTGAGCTTCTTATTGATAATTAATGAAATTATTCTACCTAAGATCACTGCTGCTACAAAAACTTAAAATGGAATTTTATACTCCTGGAATTTAAAATAAGTTCTCGCACTCACAGTTACTTCATCCATAAATTTCAATGGACTAAGGTTCAGGTTTCTGCTAGTCAGACTTTTTTTTTTTTTTCCCCTAAAAATCCTGCATGTTATTATCATCTATTTTATTTTGCAATGAAATATATGACCTAGCTTGTTGATTTTATGGCTTCCATTACTTTTTTGTTGTTTGCATCTTATAATTTCTATTAGAATTCATTGTAACATAAATGCAGGGAAAAGTAAGCGCATTTATTCAATGCCGATATATAAAACTCTTACCCAAATCCTCAACACTTAGCTTCAGAGTAATTTTACAGGAGTTGCCATGCTGTGGACAGACAAAGGGTACAACACTCAGAATGGTCAAATCATGTTCTTTGCCATCCTCTGCAATTTGTAATGATTCTGGTAAAAAACTGGAAATAAAAAAAATTTTAGATAATTTTGACAGATTAATTAGAAAATACTGATATTTATAAAATTGTGAGTGGTTTAAATCAATTATGAAAATATAGAATTGCTTGTGAAATAATAATCTTTGTAATAATCCTCATAATAATAATCTTCACAATAATGATATTTTACTTTATAAGGTGAAATTTTTAAAATACTTGGCAATTAAGAAAATGTTTGCAGTTGTCATACATATTGTCTAATTGCTTCTGTACTCTGCTCCAGGTGCAAAGTGAGTGCAATTTTTGCTCTATTCCTCTTCTTTGCTATGGGAGGAAGACGGATTTCTCTGTACATAATACATTACAGTTTCAGTGTCTCATGCGCTGGGGAGAGAGCTCAGGTTGTGCCATTTTTGTCTGTCTGTTCTCCTGAGACAAGAGCAGAAACAGCACTTGGGGTTACTCAGAAATGGGAATTTCCATTCCCTGGGAAATTCTGACATTTCCAAGAAACTTGAAACTGTTCTTCAAACATCGGACAGAAAGGGCTGCCAGATTTTTCAAACACCATTCATGGAGGCATGTATCTTAGATGCTCAGAAGATCTCAAAATCTCCTGGACTGCCAGAGTGACAATGTAATCCTTGAGTGGGATTAGACCTGGGTTTTGTACTCAGTGTGAATTTATCTTCAGCATTTTAAGTGCCTTCCCATCAAAATTCATTTTTATCTTCACTTTTGAGCTACAACAAATCATCTGTGTAGGTGTGCCTTCCCATAATACCATAATATAACATAAATATAACCACCAGAGTACTTTGGTGTATATTTACTAGAAGATACAGGTTCGCATATTCTTTATGGTACATTAGCGTCCACCTGCACACGGCGCTGATCGGTGGTTTTGGGTGTTTTACAAACAGACTGAAAGCCATTTTGTCTAAGTAAACATGAAAGCAGCACTGGTTATGATGGTCAGGGCTTAAGTTTCTGTGTCTTGTTTTTCAAAGCATGTCTGATAATGTAAAAATTCCCTAGGGATATGCCAAGTCAGTAAATCAAGGCTATTGGTGCTACCTTAATCCCGGCATAGAAACTTTTGCTCTCCTCAGGCAATGACAGCTGCTCAGCAGTATTCCTCATAAAAGCAGTGACAGTGCAAAAGACCTATGATAAATAAACAACATACGCTATACCTTTCCTTGAAGAAAATTCATATAATATAATTCATAAAATTCATATATTTGAGAGGTTTAGGCTTTAACAATATTTTTGCATAATTCTGGAGATTTGGAAGAATTTTTGATGCAAAGAAACATGGTTTCTATCTTAACAGTTAATAACACTGAATGCTTGCAATGTGTTTTCTTCAGTTTTTCAAGCATCTTGGTTAGTGATATTAACTCATTTTAATTAGGGAGAAATACATTGTTCATGGACATTACTGTCAGGATAAGAACATTAGCTCTTGGGACTTCAGTCTGTCCAATGGATCAAATATCCTTTCTCTGTACTATATTTGTAACCAGTTTTTTTCTAAATTTGAATTAGTTTGACAATCATCCAGTCACACTGTGTCAGCAATATAAGAAGCTGCTTTTTTTTTGTTTTTCTTGCTGCATTCTAAAAGTTGATGCAGATGTGCCCACAGCATTTGTATTGTAAGAAAATAATATAGTAAAAATATTCCCTACCCAAAAAACTCCACCAAACACAATGTACCAGGACCATTTATGTTTTATTCCTAGCACAGTCAACGCAACCTTTATCTCTGCTGAGCCTGCACACCATCTGCCATCTTAATGTTTCATTGGTTTCAGAAAAAACAAGCTGCTAACATCATTTCTAGGATCATAAGATTAAACTACAGAAATTTTCCTTAAAGCAAATGACAACAGGCTCTGAAACTGTAGTTCAGAATTTTTTTGGGGGGGAGCTCGTCTCAGAAATGGAGTAACAGATTGTGATATACTAAATCAATTTCAAATAGTCAGATGACATATTTGTAACTACTGCCTTTTTTAAGCCTTGAGTAACCCATGAGGAGGAACTGGACCAATCTAATTCATATTCCATTGTGATAAACTCATTTTGATGGATTTTCCCAGCATCACTCAGTCCATGCTGCTCTAAGCCTACCGGCTTAGGCATGACCCTCATGACCAGTAGCAGCAAAAGAGGCTCAAACCCCAGATATTCCCAAATCCATAGGGTCGCATGGGCATGAGTTGAATAGCACTCTGGAATATTTCTTTTACCACCCTAAAAATCCCTCTTCATTACCATCAACTTGAATCATCTTTCCAAACTCATTTGTGCACAAGCGTGCCCCAGAAGCAACACAGCCTCATTTGTATGGCTATGGGGAAAATTAAGTGTCTTCTGTGCTGTTAAGGTGGATTATTTCCAGTCCAGCTCAGTCCCAGGGTTACTTACCTTTTGGTACATTGGCCATTTTCACCTTCAGAAAGTTTCTCACTTTTTTGCTGACAGCTCCAGCCAGTTAGGCCATGTGAAAATGGTTTTATTTCTTACATTAACTAGATGAAAGCCTTGTGGTTGTATTGGGTGTGTCTCACAGAGATAATTTACAGTTAGCCTCAGATACTTCATAGTTAGCCAGTTTGCCTCCAAAGGAGAACATGTCATTGTCCCCTCAAGGCAATAGTCCCGTTATCATTAGATATTTATTACCTTCAAGCATTCCCTAAAGGCTCCTGTTCAGCTTACAGAGTTTTCAAAACAGTTCTGCTGGAAAGGCAGGAGGCAAGCGTTGATCTTCCTCCTGCTGCTTCTCCTGCAGCTGCCACAGGGACAGCCTGCAAAATCAAGATCTGACAAGGCGGTGACAGCAGAGAAAGAGTTTAGACAACGTATACTCCCCCTATTTAAAAAAAAAACAACAAACCAAGCGCTGATCCCCTTGGAGAGCTCATTGAGAAAATGGAATGCACCTGCATTGCAGATGCGATATTTACACTTGCCAGACTGTTGGCACTTTTGGCTTTAATGCTTTTCGCCAAAAATATTCACACAGAGACTTCCCTCTGAGCACACCACATGGAGTGTTCCTGCCAAGGAGGGAGCTGTTGTGTGAGGCAGCAGGGTCACATAAAAGGATGCCTGGCATCGATGGAGGCATCTCCCAGTGATCTTCACCAAAGTGACATCCTGGGAAATGTCATGACCTAGCCTTATTCCCTGCCAGCATTGTATTTTCTCACATACATATTTTAGAGGTATATTTTATTGATAAAGCATGGAAAACTAAAATAAAAAATTACTCTATGATGATACACTGAGGCATTCTTAGACTATCAATCAGTCCATTCCAGTTCTGTCTTCAGTGGTTTTGGAGATGAGCACAAACTCTGCAAATTCTAAATGTACAGACAGTCATCATGAGTTAAGTTTTATTTCTGTCTTTTATACTATTCCTCCTCTTTAGTGACTTTATGTTGTTAGGTGCACACTTCACAATCAGCAGATATGTTCAATGGCGACTGAGCTACAAGTTGATGGTTTGTCACATAGTTATTATGACAGTCACTCTGAGGAGGTGTTGTTTTGCCTTCAGCTAAATACTAGCTCTTTTCTCCAGTTCAGTAATCAACCTTTTCTTTCTCTTCGGCCCCCACCCCCATCTGCCCCCACCCCCATCTCAGGATGCATCATTTTTAAAGCAAAGAGATGAAAGCAACACTGACAGCAGTGTGCTGATAGCCGTGACAGGTTAGGCAGTATTTTTCCACAAACTCATCATATCTGTTAAAAAAATCAAATTATATTTTTTCATCATCCCTTTTAAAGGGACAGAAATGTAAGGATACCCTCAGAAATGATGACCAGACTGCTTCCAGGCACAAGCTGCTCCCTTTCCCCTGTGTGCTGGCAGATCTTTGTATAGGGCAGAAAACTACTCCTAAGCACAAAATTCTCATCAGAAAAGCCCCTGGAAGCTAAGAAGTTTCTTCTTCCCTGTGTGTTGGAGCAGATTTCTACTCTTACACAGACTCAGTCAGATTCTTTCCTATTTTGCGATGAACCCTGTGAGTAGTGTATTTAGCTGAAAAAAGAATTCAGTTATTAATTTGGAGAAGATCAAGTAGCTCTGGGAAACAGATTGGGAAAGTATTATAATCCTAGGACCTTTCACCATCTCTGGCAAATTCCCCCATAACAATTTGCATATCAAAATTTTTTGTTTCTTTTTTCCCCCCACAGTTCTCGGAATCCAAAGCTCCCCAAGGTCAGTTGTTTGTGCTCATTTTGAGAATAAACCCACCTCCAGTTTCACCGTTTTCTGTGTCCCTAATTACTTCTGAATGTACCATGGGGAACATAGGCTGGGATGCGGTAGGGGACACTTGCCAGTGCATCCAGCATGGCCATGCCTCCAGTTTTACCAGCTTCTCCCAGCCGGGATAATGGGTTGTGTTCCCAAAGGCAAAAGAGGAGATGATTGGTGCTTAAAACCCATCCCTGCTCATCACTCAGGTACCTGAAGACTCCTGGGTTTGCCAGGGAATTCTGAGAGCTTTCAGAAAGGCCAGCTTCAGCCACATGCTTCTCAAAGCACTGGCAGACATGGTGCCACCACCCTTCTCAACACTGTCCCAGGAGCAAAAGCACTTCTCCCCAAAACAGAGAGAGCTGGCAGATGGGAGTACTGGGTTTGGGTCTGTCATGAAGGCTGCTTGTATGTTTTACCTAAACAGTCACCAGAGAAAATAAGCAAATGCATGTGCAGGTTCCCACCTGCAGTCACTGCTTCCTCTCCTAGTGCAGCCTATGCCCTGCAGGTGGGATGCTCCCTTGGGAAAGGCAGGACATGCATGCAGCTCACAGCTGGGAGGACCAGCTACCCATTTCCCATCTGCCCAGAAAGATCCTGAGGTGTGTTGTAGTGCAGAGGCCTCACAGTGACAACAGCAATGGTTTAAAGTTGAAATATGTACTTTTACTGTTACTGATCTTTCAGAGACTGTGTATAGCCAGGTACATCTCAGTAGGAGTTTAAGGTCTGGATTAAAAAGTAGATGGAAGCACTTTCCTGACCTAAACATCCAGTCTCCTGAGAGGTGTGGGAATTCAGGGATGCTGGCGTCAGTCAGTAACTTATGTTGTCCACCTCTGGGAAACTCCCTTCTCAATATAAGGTAGAATTTAGGGAGGCCCAGTTCTTCCCTTCACTGGGTAGGAAAGTCTGCATGCTCCTCGTAAGGTGCACATGCCTAAGGTGTGGGTGATTAACTCTCATAACTCCAGGATTGGATCTACCCTTCTGGCTACTTTACCTATGTCAAAAGGCAGACAGGGGCTGCAAGGGCAAGAGTCACTCAGCCACACTCATGGCTTGCAGGTGAAGGGCTGGTCAGGGAATCAATCACACCAGGTGAAAGTGTGTCTCGCGATGGCTGTCAGAGCTTCCAGGCTGCCCTTGTCAACTCTTAAACACTAATAGGCTGAGGTTAGAAAAGCCTTGAAGAACTGCTTTGCTGGGAGCTTGGGAGTATGTGCAGGAGGGAACTGTGGTTTCAGCCTTGATGAAAAGAGAAAAGGATGAGCAGAGCTGAAGGACAGCATTTCTAGAGAATCTGGGGCAGGGGGGGAATCTCATTAGCTTGAAGAAATGATCTGATTGTAGGTATTTGTAGGAAGGAGTGGGAACAAAGTCTGTGGAAAGTCTTTCCAGAAGGGTTAGCAGAAAAAGGAAAGCAGGGAGAATCTGAGTTAATTAATCAACTAAACCTTAAATCTTTTGAACAGAGATCATACCCTGTGGTGGGCTGTTGGCTGAAGAAGGGAGGGAACTGGTGCAGCAGTGTGACCTGTCTCTCAGGGAAGTCCAGTTCTAGTCACTTTGCTGCTCAGTATATTTAAAGAAGGCAGTTCTTTCCAGTTACCAAATGGCCAAACAGTATGTGGAGGCTGACTGCAGGTCACTCATCTACTAAGGAAAAAAAAATATCCTAGGGTGGTAAGAAGGTGTCTTACGAGCTGCAGAGTTTTGCTTATCATCTCTGATCCTTTCTGCTTCAAAAATCTCCGTTTGAGTTCACCTAGAGCTCTGTTTCTGTGGGGATGCTCCTCATTTTCTATCTGAAGGTTGAGAAAGAAGTTGTAAACTGAAGTGTGAGCTACAAATAGGCAGGTCTTCCTATTTCTGTTTGATTTTAAGTCTGGTGGAAAAATTTACTCCTCATCCCTTGTGAGTGAAAATTAGTTATTTTTTATATTGAGGTACTAATTTACAGTCTTCTTGACTAGGGCATGTTCTTCTGATATTGCAGAGTGCTCGGCAAAGCAGCAGCTTCTAGCATTCAGCTCGGAAAGGCCAGTTTTACTTAAACATTTCTATTTTACAATGCTCATCATAGTTTATGTACGGTGACAATTGCTCCTCACTGTATGAACTTCTGGATTGCTGTGCTGAGCAAAATCTGCACGATTTTCTTCTAAACACCTTTCTTTCTTAGCATAACTCATTACTCACAGTGTGCCACTATAATTTATAGATGGCTGCGCCTCGAGGAATGAAATGACCTCTGTCACTGTCACATAAATAAAGCTTAGGAATGCCAGGATTTTCATATTAGATGGAGTAAGCTTCTTTCAGTGTTTATATAGAAATAGTGGCATGTTATAGATTTATTTAAGGCTGCAATAGTTTTGTGAACATTATGCTGCCAACATTACTGTTTGAAATAACGAAATTGGAGCCCAAAGATGGGGAAGAAAAGCACACATGATGGCTATTAAAAAATAACTGGCTGTTTCGTCAATACAAGTTCAGAAATGTTGGCTGGTAAATCTCAGCTCTAAGGTTTGACTGTGTATTAAAATACATCAATAGATATTCTATTATGTGACTAACCTATTATCTGGAGACTTTTTGACAGATAAAAAATAGTGTAGATATCATTCACCTAAAAGGTGATTAAAAAAAAAACTTGCTTGACTCTAGGACTTTCCTTATCAATAAATGGACAGAGAAGATGCTGATTTCAGGGTATGAAAACATTGAGACCAAATTCAGGCTACGTGAATGCTCACGAAGAGTAGGTTAAAAAAAGTAAGCAGTTTTCAGCATGCTGCAGATTCTGCATCCTAGGGGACAAATTCTGCTCTGAATGCTACCCATGCACCCTGGCAGTGTGCAGCCATGAGGACATTACCATTGGGCTGTGTATGGGGAAGGGGAAAGAGTACTGGAAAGTGCCCCCAGTTCGTTCTTGTCCTGGGTTCAGCAGTAGCAGTCATGTTTTTTCCTTTGTGTTAGCTGGTGCAGTGCTGTGTTTTGACTTCCAGCCTGGGAACAGTGTTGGTGATACTGATGTTTTCGGTTGTTGCTAAGTGATGTTTACCCTGACCAAGGACTTTGTGAGGCTCATGCTCTGCCAGGGAGGAGGGGAAGCTGTGAGGAATCAGAGACGGGGCGCCTGACCCGGGCTAGCCAGGGAGGTATTCCATACCACAGCACGTCATGCCTGGGGTGGGGGGTAACTGGGAGTTACCCGGAAGGACACGGGCTTCCGGGTGGAACTCATTTCTTGGCCGGTGGTATCGTATTCTCTTCCCGTGTTATTTTCCCTTATCATTGTTGTAGTTGGTGGTAGCGGTGGTGATTTGTGTTGTACATTGGTTGCTGGACTGTTCTTGTCTCAACCCGTAGGAGTTGCACTCTTTCGATCCTCCTCCCCATTCCTCCGGGAGCGGGGAAGGGGAGAGCCCCGGTGCGGGGGGGGGCCCTCGATTGTTGTCAGCTGGGCACCACTCACTGGGAGTGAGTGAGCAAGCTATCTGACTGGGTTTAAACCACGACAGTTCTCTCCTCTCTCATATGGCTTTTATCAGTGGCCTCCTTTTCCCTGCCTGAGGAAAAAATCCTTATCTCCATCTTTAATGGGCAGGTGGAAGTTACAAACTGCCTATGTGCAGTGGAGTTTGGTCCCTGGGGTTTGACTCCCTTTAGTGGCATCATCTTTCCTTGGCTGTAGACATGCCAATGCTTACAAAGTCGCTTCAGATTTACACCACTGGAGGTGAAAGGAGAGTCTACCTCTGTGACTCTTGTTAGCACCCAGAGTGGGATGGCAAACATGGTGAAATGCTTTTTTAAATCTTTATTATGTAAAACTGAATTCTCAGTTACAGCTGAGGCTTCATTGCTTGGTTTTCACCAGTGATGATTTATGCATAATTATAATTAATCAAATAGGCCATGAAGACCTTTCAAAAAAAACCTAGCAAGGAGAAGAACATTTTAGTCTCACTAAGCCCACTAAATTAAACATGTAGTTTCAGCAGAGGACAAAGAAGGGCTTACTGAAAACTTAACATAATAAAAATGATTTTATAAAGATTTGGTGTTGCTACTAGTTAACAGAAATGTATTTTCTCTGAATCCCTCAGGATTGTTAAAACTTGAAATGATTGCAAGTGAAATTAATTTGATGAAAATACCTCTTACAAACTTGTCTTTAGCTGGCAGAATTGTCTGCTTGATGTTATAGTATGTGAGGGAAGCATCAGTCAGACTTTGAATTCAGGAGGCATAATTATGAGGAGAAGTGAGAAAAAAAACAAACAATCTTACTGTGCTACTGTTATAAATGACTTATCCTTTCAAAGACTGGAAAAAGCTTATTCACATTTCTTAAATATCTCAAAGAGTTGCAAAATGCCAAGACTACTTCCAACCTACTTTTAACACAAGGCCATTTTCCCTGTTTATTCTTTCAGTTTGTTGTAGCATCACTAATGGCTCTCTGCCTATAAAAGTTATGAACCTAATTTAACTTTAAAAGCCTTGTTTCTGTACCATGAAAAGCCACGATTTCATACAGAAGTCATTTTTTTTTCAAATTTTGAATTGGCTTCCGTTTTGTTGTTGTTGTTGAAACTAGATCTGTGCTGCTATGTAAGCCATCAAATATACTTCTTAGAGATTGTTTTGTAATGGACTCGATATCTTTCAGTATGCTATTGAACCAAGAATTTGGAATCAGAGAGGTAGAACACCATGAAAGAGACCATAAAATAAACCTCCCTCTATTTTAAAATGTACTGTCCTTCTTTTCCATGAAAAGATGTTATTGTGTCTCTGGTCCATGAGTATAAAAATTACAGAGTGTATATAGTTGAGCCTGCCTATACTGCAAATTCTCGCTGCTGCAAGGTATAAAAAGTACTAAGCAAAAATTGTCCCAGGCACATGTATCTACTAATACCAACTTCATGGCATTCAAGCTGTAATGTAAGTGCAAGTATTCAAATTGCCTTTAGAAAATAGTAAAATGAATAGCTTCAGTGAACTCACTGCAATTCAAAGAAATGTTACAGATCCTGAATCTGGCAAAAGCTGTTTAACAGTCTTGTTGCAAAAGGGTTTCAGTATTTTTTTCTGCAGGAATTGTAATATAATGAGTGAAGAGCAGCACTAATAAAAACAAAACAAAGATTTAAGTAAAGGATTTGATCCCCTTGAATGTTTGACCTTTTTTTTTGCTGAAGGCGAGGTTGCATTACCGCGTCTCCCAATCTGAGGTTTATGCCGTTCATCTCTATATAGGAAAATGACTGCAGAGTGGTGTCACGCTGAATTTGCTGGTTTTTGCCAGAGGTGGACAGGCGTGACCAGACCACCATGTACTGCAGCAATGGCTTTGAGGAGGGGTGGCTGAAAGTGCACTTCAGGTAGACATGACCTTGCGCAAGCTCGGGACTTATCACGGGCTGCAAAGCCAGGCTTGTGAGTTTGACTGGAAGAAGGAAACAAAGGATGAATGCAGCACAAAATGTTATTTTAATATTACAATCATTCACTCAGCAAGAAGATTTCTATATAACTAAACATGGGAGAAATTCTATGTATATATTCTTGTGATTTGATTATTAACCATGTAAGAAAGCAAATATATTTCATAAAAATACAAAAATTGCTAATTGTGTGCTGACTTCCTATTGCTATAATATTGTGTTGTTGGTTTTGTTTTTATTTTGAAGATAAATGTTATTGAAATGAAGCACTCAGATTAATACAAATTAATTACTCTGGCAAAGGCCGTCATCTTTGCATTCCCCTGAAGCACAACCCTTTCATCCAAGTTTTGCAATAAGTACAGAAGAGATATGAGAAATCATTATGTTGCAGAGGTAAATCGACTTGCAGAGAGCACACAGCCCACATTGCCATGCTGTGAAGATCCTTTCCAGGCTGTTCTCAGTCTGCTCAATATAGTCTCCCTCTGCCCAGAATAATGCCATTGCTCTAAAAATAAAGCCTGCTTTCTATACTCTTCAACAAGTTATGAAGTCTGAAACTTTTCTTCCTGTTAAACTCGCCTAGAAAGTAGAAAAAAAGGTGTGTAATACTTTAGGGTGATGTTCTTCCATCTCTGGAGACCTGGACTCAAATGGAACATGAAGCTGGTTCAGATGCTTTGAAAGGATAAATTAAGTAAGTTTTTGGAGGAGTGTAGGTGATATTATTGTAGCCCAAGAGAATAGGGTATGAGGCTGTTCTAACAGAATGAAGAACCAACATACTAACATTTGTCTAGGGCAAATAACAAGAGGTAAGAGGAAGAAACAAGTTACTTAACATATGAATAAGGGTCAGTTGTTTACACCCTTTTCTCTTTTGTTTCTAAGGGAAGCTGCCTGAAATTGTGCCTCACATCATGACTTTCTGCAGGAAATTATTCCAGAAGGACAAAGTTGATCAGCTTATGGGAAGATGTGAGCAGAATTGAAAGCATGTATGCTGCTTTCCCCAGGCATCTCCTTTCTGCCAAGCTATGAAGCTTTCAGTTCAGGAGTGTTGACCAGTGTCCTGCTCTCAAGCTTCCAGTGGTGAGGCTGGAGGATTGACATTGGCAAAAAGCTGTGACAATGACAGCTGGACCCAGCTCTGAGGCCATGTAGAGGCTCCTGTGTTGCAATGTTAACAGCTGAATTTAAGACAGTGACTTAACAACCCCCAGTAGAAAACATCAGTGTTTGGTGTTTTCCATCAAATACTTGATGCTGCAGAAACAACCTAAAGATAGGAAGTTAAAGGCTCAGGAGAGCTGGACCTCACTGAAATGACTAGAAAAAAGGTGAAAGCTTCAACAAGAGTGGTAAGAAAAAGGCAGAAAGTCACTGTTTTGTGATAGATAGGAAGTGATAAACGTTTTGTTATGAAAAAGGCAGGCAAATTTACATTACTAAACAAGCATGGATCAACAGAAAGGACAAAACTAGCCACCCAGGTGTTGGTAAAAAATTCTTCAAACAAGAGTAGTGGAAATCTTATAGTTAAAAAAAGAAAGCCAAGCTTAGACTAGAATATGACTGTGTTCAGTTAGAAAGTCGTTTCTGAGCATCATGGAAATTAAAGAGCAGTTCCATTTATTATAATGGATTTTTTTTTTTTAATTTTAAATAGTGAATTAATCTCATTTACCTTGAGCATTTTTGCTCCCTGTTCATCATGTGGGAATGTTAAAATATTGATAAAAATAAGAAAATTGATACATCTCTGCTTAAAATTTATTTAAGCTCAAATTTTTCCCAATTGAAAGGTGATAACCCTGGTTTCTCAGTGAGTCATATCTGTCCAAAAATCCTGAAAGGAAAGTATAAAGCTACTTTTTACCTTTTGAGAAAGAACTGTCATTTCTGACTAAATCTATATGCACCTGAACATGCTCCGAAGTTCAGAAGGTTTTACTGAGTGAGCAAGTGCTTTCTGCTATTCCTTTGTTTCCTAGCTACCGAACAGAGGTTATATCTCTTGTAGCAGGCTGAAAATTATTTCTGATGAGAGCAATTACATAAATGTCATGAAAAAGATGTTATCTGTTGGTCGTTGTGTTGAGTTTTTTTCCTTCCAGAGTTTCAGAATTATCTTTTTGGGGGGGATACTTGATTAGTGAAGATAAGAACAGACCTTCAATACAGTATCCTGGATACAGTGCCTCAATAAAAACGAGATGCTTCTGCCCACTACCTACACAACTTTGAGCCAAAGTGGAGCCAAAGACAGTAGGAAGGGTTACATGTGAACTGTAACCAAGCAAAGAACACTACAGTAATACACACTAGATTACATTTTGCACTTGTAATAATAGCTATTCTTCAGGAACACCTTGGGCTGCCGCTGATTTATTTTCTACACGGTCTGTGTCTTACCAGGAGTGATGCTTGACTTGCAAGGTCACTGAGATGTACAATGCATTACAGGACCTTTGAACACACAGTCAGAGAGGCATATGCAATCTACTGATCCTCACCTTCTGCGCAGTAGCCCATGCATCCTTGAGTACGCTGCAGGAAATACACAAAGAATTCACCACAGTTCCTGATGGCAATGGGTATCCGAAACAAGCAGCAGCCTTTGGTGCCCCCAAAGAAGGCCTGCCAGGTAACACAGGCCATCAGCCTCTTGCTTTCACCAGGAGCTGGTAGGGATTCAGACTTCAATGGCAGCCACACCGGAGCTTGTGTCCCGCATTTATTCATCTAAGGATGCACACAAAAGAAAACGTTTACAGCAAATGAGGTAAGACTCCATGAAGAATCACTAAAACCCAAGAATTTGACTGTGGTGGACTTGAAGAGTCAGCGAAAAAGCTGTGTAAGTGGGGATGAAAATGTCTTATTCATTTTAGAGAGATGACTTTATACAGATAAAATTCTCTTAAGAACACAATAACTGTATTCCAAAGTATTTTCCTCTATTTTCGTTTGGTTTGTATGAAAAAGATGAAAGCATATGCACAGGCTACATCCTTCTCTGAAAATTACACTTCAGCAGGCTATGACTCATCTATGACAGAAGAAAGCAAGGGCTGCCGGAGCACGAGGGGCAAGAAGTTGTTAGGACCATCACAAAGCAGGACTCTCTGATACTCAGAGCATCACATACCAGCACCTTCCTCCAGAACACTTAGAGCTTAATCTGTCATTGTCCTGACAGTTTCTGCCCTACCCTTCCAGCACATACTGCATACGCCTTTGGGGCTTGAGCCTCTGCCTCATTCTGAAGGGAAATACATATGCAAGATGTATGAAACACATGTGCAGAATATACATCATCTGATCAAATTTTTGGGGAGTTTTGACCTTCAGGCTTCTAACTGTTAACAGATTTCCTGAATACCCTGAACATAAAAAATCCCAAAGCAGAAGGTGTTGGTACTAAATAGTACTACGTCACAGCTGGGAGAGGCTGCAAGGTTTAACTTTTCCAACTTGGAGGTTGATGTTCAGGCATCTCAGATCTGAATTGCATTCTCTATCTGCCAGGCTCTTTCCACTGCCTAAAGGGACATGATTATCCAAAGCTGTCTTTAAGTACCTCAGTGAGAAGATTAGGTATAATCAGAGCCTAATAAAATGTACACAGCCACTTACAATGGTACCTCATTACTCTGCACTGTTACCTATCATTTGCCAATATGCAAAGCATACAGATATTTGAGCTGAAGTTTGAAAATTATTACCAAATACTGGCAATAATTTACTCTTAGGTATCTGTCATATTCCACAGAGCGTGACAGCTGCCGTTGCTTTGCATTTCTTTAGCCAGCGGTAGTGAACTGTCTCTAATAGTCTGATGTGGGGAACATGCTTCCTCCTAATGTGGACATTTGGCTGTATATCACATTAAAAAAAAAAACAACAAACCACCATTTTTTCCCATTGGCCTGGGTTTGCTGCTTCACTTTTAAGATCAAAGTTGTTTGTGACAGCAGGGGAAGCGGTAAATGTCAAAGGATCAATTTATTAAGTCATATGCCAGTGCCCTCCTGTAGTTTGAATTTTACCTGGGAGCTATGCAAGACAGAAAGCAGGGACAGGGGAGTGGGGGCTTCACACACAGGCAAAAAAAAATATTAGAAGAAAATAAAGCATATGGTATGACACAGTCTGATTTCCATTTGGAGCTAGCTATTGTCAGGCTTCTGAAAACAAGGATTCCAGAGAGACACCATTAAAATTGTCCAAACTCTTTTGTTTCCCCAGAGATGTGGCAGTGGCCAAGCAGAGGCGCCATGGAACTCCCAGTGCAGCAGGTCCCCCGGGAGGAATAGTGTGCCAGCATTGCACTAGTGAAGGAGAGGAGCAGATCAGCGTGAAAATGCTTTCACGTGGAATTTTAGACAAATCCCTTCCTTTCCTCTATTTAAAAGCCATATTGTGTGTAACTTTGTAAGAGATTTGTTCTGTTTATTTATTTACAGCTTTTAAGGGACAGCAGTCCTTTCTGTGTTGGAAAGAATGCAGATGTCAGGAATTTGTTCTTTCCTGGTGAGCTCCTGATCTAGAGAGCAAGATCTGATGCAAAGGGCTGGAACTAGATGAGCTTTAAGAGATTTCACACCCAAACCATTCTATGATACTATAATGATTCTATGCATGTGTGAGTAAAGACTGCTGGACTGAATAATTGTTTCAAATTACATTAAAACAAAAAGGTATTTGTGAATGCAATTTGCAAGTGTTGTGAATCCCACAAGCTGGGAAGAATCAGAACAGGGGAGTGCAGAGCAGAAGAGATAAAAGAGCACTGGAACTCAGTGGGTGTATGTAAAATCACAGAAAGCGTTGAAGGAAAATGGTGTGGTAAGGAGACACAGCACAGCCTACCCACCCCTCATGGGGGACTCCTGTACTCCCACTGACTCTGCGATTGGCATCGCAGCTTGCTGCCTGAGGAGAAGGAAGAGGAGAGATGCCAGCACTGCTCATGGCAAGGAGAACATTCCGAGTGCTGCTAACAACCACTGCAAAGGGCTGTTGCCACCATTTACTGATATTCAGTTACTGAAAAGTGACGTTTATTGCTTTATGGTGACTCAGTCTCCAGCAAATACCTGTTTCTCAAGGAACATTTGCACCCATGGCTGAACAACCTAAAAAAATAACAATTTTCTGTAGAAGATCTTTTGCTGTTCAAAATTAGCTTTTGCATCCATTTGCTTCTGCCTTTAATGGTGTAACTGGCCTCCACTTGTCAGTGCTGCTCTATTGCGAGGGTGGCTGCTGGGCTGCCTCTGGCCAGGCACATGTGGTGCCTCAGTTTCCCTGCCTGCTGCCTGACCTTGGGCAAATTACTTACTCTTTGTGTACCTCAGTTCCTTATCTCTAAACCAAAGGCAGAGGTAGCTGAGATAGCAATAGTACTTCTTGCCTTGTGGCAGTGCTGAAAAGATAAATTCATTAATGAGACACACATCTGTCTGCTGTGCTCTGGGCCATGTAGATAAATAGACAGATTCCAGTGCATTGTGGTTGTGAAAAAAGACAAAATGTGATCCATACATAAAAGTTGGGCTGTATTCCCTGTTGACACATAGAGGAAGAAAAATAAAATGCTGAAATAAGAGGATGGTGATTTTCTCCCTCTTTGTATTTATCCTCACCACAAGTCTTTGAGCCAGTTCAGTGCTTGAGAAAGTATGGATTAGCATCACTGACGTCAGCCACCAGTATTGTGTGCAGGCTTTCTGATAACTCCTGCTGTGATCTGCAGGGCCCCGGATTTGTTCTGGCAAATCTTGCATTGAAACTCTTTGAGTGAAATAGTTTGTTATGTAATGTGCACAAATTGCAAGCAATAATGAACCCGTTTGACCGATTTTGCACTCAGGAAAAGTCAGACTGTGAGGAAGCAAGTTAAATATGTTATTATCAAAATATGACGGAGTATTACTGGCTGGCCAAGGAAGAATTTTGGTATAAATCAAGTATTTCTGTTTTCCTGGCAGTTTTATTACATACATGCATTTATTTTCTGCTTTGAGCTATGTGCTGCCCATCTGAGTCAAGCAAGTTGTACCACGCTAGCTGAAAGGATTTGCTGCATGAGGCCTCTGTGAATTAGAAAACAGACCTGAGAAGGGAAGGACAAATGTATATTCATGTATTCAATCAGCAGTAGAGATAAGAGCAGAGAAAAACAAAGAAAAAATATTTAGAAAAAAAAAAGCTGACAGAAGAGATTTCAAAGAGCCAATTTTTCAAGTCTCAGCTGTGGTATAATTAGAATTAAATTTTGTAGCAGTCATTTGGAAGAGTAACCAGAAAATCGAATACAGTGGTACTAAATTATTGGCATTCAAGATATAGCATTTACCTGCAATAACTACAGTCAGTGCTGCTCTAAGAATAGCATAGAGCTGTGGGAATCTCACACTGTAATTCAGCAGCATTTCCAAAATGATGAAGAGGAATTATACAGCTGCCACCACAGAAGAGCACACGCCACAGCCTTTCACATGCAGGAGCTCATTTGATGGGAAGCCAGTGGTGAGGATCAGGCTATGGCTTTGCTGGGGTTCTCCAGGTGATCTACATAATGTAGACTGCATAGCAGCACTACCGTTGTGATGTGCAAAATATCCATGCTTCTCACTTGAAATGAAAGCTAAACAGCAGGAAGAAAAATAAACTACAATACCAGCGACACTGGAAAACACCTGTGTGCCCACAGTCTGTCCAATCATGTCTGAGCATATTGGTAGATCCAATGAGAAATAGCGTCTCTTCCTACAAATCCTGCCTCCAGTGTACATCTCTAAGCAGTGTCCCTGGTGGTGAGGGGCAGCAAATGTCTGATTAACACAACAGATCACAAGCATTCGATTACTTTAGTTGACATGTTTACTTGGACTTGCAACTGATCAGTGTGATGGAAAGTTAGTGAAGTAAACTAATTTGTTTTAAACCCTAAATGTATGTAATTCAGTGCATCTGCAGCAGGTAACCAGTGACACAACTTGCATGAAGGAGAACTTACCTAACACAAAAGGAAATTTTTAGGCTGTTGCCAGGCTTCTATAGTGCTCAGTGTCTTTTATACTTTATCCAACTATAATTAAGTAGTGCCTTTAATCTTCAAAGCATTTTATAAATCTTACCTAATTAATCTTCTCAACACCTCTATGTGGAAGGTAAGCATTCACAGAGTATTTTTGATTCATAATTAGGCACCAGCTTATCATTTAAATAATTCGGTTCAGAAAACCTAAATGAAAAAAATATTAAATTTGTTCCCCCTTTGCCAAAACAATGGGACAACCCATTATTGTTTAATCCAATGACATCTCCTTCCATTTATTTGGGGTTTGGAGAATCAACTGGTTTGATTGATTGAACACTCTAAGGCTCTTTATAATTGCACAAAGAAATCAAGCTTGATTGTTCTTGTCACTTAGGTATTGCACTGAAATTATGCTGTTAAAAATAACTCGCACCATATGTGAGAAATGTATTGTTTTAGTTAGATGGAGATGGAAGGCTTTTTGGGATACTGGTGGTTGGCAGTTAAAGCACTGCGATTTTGCACCTGTTATCCACTCAAACCTTTACTTTGTTTTGTTTTTTTTTTTAATTTTTAATTTCTTTGTAGTAAGTTAAAGTAAGTAACATTTTTTATTTCAATCTGGGGCCAAGCTCCACAGAAATCAGTTTACATCAGGAATATCTGTAGTAGCAACTAAACTAGAGCCTGTATT